TTTTGCGCTTCATCAGTAACGTCATGTGCAAACAACCTCTTAGTATTTTGGAGACTGCATTGTGGTCCTTAAAGTGAAAGTTCACCCTAAAAATGAGAAATAGTTGAGGGTAGCCATTGACTTTCATAGGAATTTATCCATACTATGGAAGTCCATGGCAACCGCCAAATGTCTGGTTAACATTTTTCAACATTCAACATCCAACATTCTTCAAAATATCTTATTTAGTGTTCAACAGAAGAAAGAAACTCATACAGGTACTCTACACTGCTCAAAACTCGCGTTTGAATCATCAGTGGCAAATTCTTTATATATAAAAAAACGTACTTACAGACTGTGAGTCAGAACAGCCGGCATTGTAGGATCAGGAAACAGTCCTCCATAAAATGTGCTGCACACATCTGAATATTTAGGTTGAACTGTTCTGGAACAGTGTTGTAAATGCAACTTAACCACTGATTTCTAGTCGTGTCCTCTTTTGGAAGACCAAACAAAGTAGTTTCGCTTTCACAATGTAACACACGGCGGGCTAGAGTGAACAGAGGCCGGTGAGCTTGAGAACGGCGAGGCCGGCGGATTCGACGAAGGAGCGGCCGGTGGGCTTGCGGCAACCACATGTGACGACCCCGGGCTGGACTCCGCTTCTAAACTGTTCTAAACATTGATTATAATAAATGTTAATCACAGCAGCAAATCAGCATATTATAATTATTTCTAAAGGATCATGTGACACTGAAGACTGGAGTAATGATGCTGAAAATTCAGCTTTTCATCACAAGAATAAATTATATTTTAAAATATATTCAAATAAAAAATAGTTTTTTAATTGTAATTATATTTCACAATATTAAAAGTTTTTTAACTGTATTTTTGACCAGATAAATGCAGCCTTGATGAACATAAGAGACTTTCAAAAACATAAAATAGATAAACTTACTAACCCCAAAACTTACACTACACATAAAATACATAAACATTCTCAAAAATATCTTGAATGTTATTCAAATTTGAGCCAGAGTCACACAGACAGCTAATTGCAGCAACAAAAAGGCTGGAAGTTATTCATTCTCAATGACAGTTGGCAATTTGACAAGCATGAGTAATTGTGAAAAAAATAAAAAGGCAACAACAGTTTAATAATAATGCTGATGATGAGGATGATGATGATAATAATAATTATTATTATTAATTGTTATTATTAAATTATTATTATTATTGGTATCATGGGCCTCTAACCATAGAACATACTAAAAATACTTTCATAGCTTGCGTTTAGTCTGTCTGAAAACCGAAAACACACATTAAGGGTGTACAGCGGGGTCAGACCACAGCCAGGCACCGTCCAGGGAAAACGCTGGAAATAGAAACACTCGCGGTGAGACAGACAGTGACGCATCTCTCACACATCTGAGCTACTAGCGTGTCATTGTTCGCACCCACCGGAATCAGACGGTCACTTGGGGTGACGAGACTGTCACCGGGGCAAAGGGCTATTTGCGAGACCCCCCCCGTCCATCACTTCAACACAAACGCCAGCTTTACTTCATTACAACTTTATGGTACAGAATAGGGCTGGACGATATGTCCAAAATTTATATCACAACATATTTATTAATTTCGGTTGATACGATATAATTTCCGATATCGATATGAACACTATTAAAAAAAGCCTCGTAAAAACTGCCAGGAACGCCCACAACAGATGTCTGTGCATACAAACTTATGAAAAATGAATTTGTCTAGTCTATGACACCTCATATAAAACCATATAATATTTTTGAAAAAGAAAACAGCAAAAATAAATTAGTTCACCTTTTATTTGTATTTAGCCTTCATACAAACAAGAAATCACTGTCAAATAATCATCTCAGACTCACCTAATTAATATGAATATCTTTAACCATGCCTAATTACCATTATTCGATCACTATAGCCGCCTGAAGTGACATACAGTGGGTACGGAAAGTATTCAGACCCCCTTAAATTTTTCCCTCTTTGTTATATTGCAGCCATTTGCTAAAATCATTTAAGTTATTTTTTTTTCCTCATTAATGTACACACAGCACCCCATATTGACAGAAAAACACAGAATTGACATTTTTGCAGATTTATTAAAAAAGAAAAACTGAAATATCACATGGTCCTAAGTATTCAGACCCTTTGCTCAGTATTTAGTAGAAGCACCCTTTTGATCGAATACAGCCATGAGTCTTTTTGGGAAAGAGGCAACAAGTTTTTCACACCTGGATTTGGGGACCCTCTGCCATTCCTCCTTGCAGATCCTCCCCAGTTCTGTCAGGTTGGATGGTAAACATTGGTGGACAGCCATTTTTAGGTCTCTCCAGAGAAGTTCAATTGGGTTTAAGTCAGGCCTCTGGCTGGGCCATTCAAGAACAGTCACAGAGTTGTGGTGAAGCCACTCCTTCGTTATTTTAGCTGTGTGCTTAGGGTCATTGTCTTGTTGGAAGGTAAACCTTCAGCCCAGTCTGAGGTCCTGAGCACTCTGGAGAAGGTTTTCATCCAGGATATCCCTGTACTTGGCCGCATTCATCTTTCCCTCAATTGCAACCAGTCGTCCTGTCCCTGCAGCTGAAAAACACCCCCACAGCATGATGCTGCCATCAACGTTTACCATCCAACCTGACAGAACTGGAGAGGATCTGCAAGGAGGAATGGCAGAGGATCCCCAAATCCAGGTGTGAAAAACTTGTTGCATCTTTCCCAAAAAGACTCATGGCTGTATTAGATCAAAAGGGTGCTTCTACTAAATACTGAGCAAAGGGTCTGAATACTTAGGACCATGTGATATTTCAGTTTTTCTTTTTTAATAAATCTGCAAAAATGTCAACAATTCTGTGTTTTTCTGTCAATATGGGGTGCTGTGTGTACATTAATGAGGAAAAAAAATAACTTAAATGATTTTAGCAAATGGCTGCAATATAACAAAGAGGGAAAAATTTAAGGGGGTCTGAATACTTTCCGTACCCACTGTATATCTGATAAAGAGGGAGGAGATCCAGAGAGGTTCAGTTACGGAGCAAAATCAGGGTTCAGATTAAGGACATGGGCAGGAGAGAGGCCCGAGAGAAAGACAAGGAGAAAGAGAAAATAGAGACCTCTGCTTATATCTGTCACTACGACTTTAAATCAACAGCTCTGCTGGATGCAGCCGTTCATACAGCCAATGATGCTAGTGAGAAAGCAGAAGCGTGAATGCGTGGTGACTAGGGCTGGGTATCGAGTTCGATACTTTTTAGGCACCAACCGAATTTCCTCGATACCATCGAGTATCGAAAATCGTCTTGTCGTTCGGAGTACCCTAAGGGGTTAAGGCACACTTTGTTTTTGGCACCACTTATAACACTATTCTACACAAGATGTTCACTTTCATTCAGAAAACTGTGTACAATAAAGATGTTGGCAAAGTGAAGGTCCTTGTATCGCTGAGGTTAGAGCAAGGCTGCTTAGCTAGTAGGTTTAATAGGTTCTGTACTGAATATAGTTATGCATTGTCATTTCATGCATACGTGATGTATTTTTGTGCATGTATGTGTATGTTTCTTGAGCCTGACAAAAATTTTTTAATAAATGTTTTAAATGTGACATCGTTGATCTTGTTTTCTATTTTGTTTTTAAAACACCAAATGGGTTTAAAAATTAGATAATTTTTCACTATTATAAAAGTAAATGAACTCTACATAAGTTCAATATTAACACTAATCAGAGTAAATTTTCCTGCAGAGTTAAATTGTGGTAACACAGAACAGAGTTAATTTCCCCTAGTGTTAAACTCTGGTAACACTATTCAGTGTTGAGCAGTGTTAATTTTTTACTCAAAATAGAGTTAATTTAACTCTGAAAATGTAACACTATGACAAGAGTCAATTTATCACCAATTCTGAGTGGGACCAAATACACTCGGGCCGAGTGTTAAATTCAACTCTTATAGATTTCATTTAACACTGCAAAATTTACTGTGTACAGTTAAATACAAACGAGACTATACAAGGGAGCAATAAAAGGGAAAAGATCTGTAGCCAGGGTAAAAAATTTACGGGATATTTATCATCAACTCAATTTTGTTGTTTTTAGTTGTTTTTTTTAATCTATGAAAATATTTGATTTCAATATACAATATGGCCAATTTCATTCTTATAATTTAATATAATAATTACACTTCAGTTCCTAATAAAAACAAACTGGTTTAAATTACACAACAAAGCTATCTTTTTAGCATTTGGCAGTTGGCGGGTGTAATTTTGGAGCGTGGTTGGAGCCCTTTATACAGAGTCCTGAGAGGATATGGCTACAGACTGCAGTAAATGTCAAAAACAATCATAATTTTCCAGTTTTTCTAAAGCGGAGTTACTAACGATGCAATAAAAATAGAGAAGAGTTGCAGCACTTTGTACTGAGATCTGAGAGCACAGGGTGCACCATAAAAAGACTATCATCTTTCTCCATCTTTACCATCATCACCGCAAAGCTTGGTAACAGCAGTCAGTAAAAGGACAGAAACACCACAAATGCACACAGCTAACATATCAAAGCAAGCATTAGTACATAACTGGCATATATAGGTGGAGTCCAAAAGTCTGACAATCAGGGACTTAAAATGAAATTTAAACCTGAAAAATAAAGAGCTTTAAGATTTAGAAGGAAAGGAAGCGTTAAGAAGTATTTGGGATATTTCTGTAAATTTGTGGTATCATGCCACACAGTGATGCACAAGATGCTCTTTCAATCATTTTTAAAATCACACTGGACAACATGATCAGCTGGTTTTGTGGAGCTCGTGAAACTGTAGTGCTGCTGTCATTTAAAGCGAAAAGGAGACAAGCTAAATACTAAGACATTCTAAAAAAAAAAAAAAATCATGTTCATTTTCAATTTATTTTTTACTTATTGGTACCAAATATATAATTTTGGTCTCAGACTTTTGCACCCAAATGCATGAGTTCAAAGAAAAAAAAAACTGATAAATTGCTCGTGTGTCTTACCTTTCAGCTGATCAGTAACACTGTGCCCAACACGTTCCCTCACTCGCCCGTCCTCCCTCTCGTAACGGTCATCCAAAAAACTTGCTGTGACCTCCGACAAGTGCACCTTTCCCGCCACGCCCAGCTGCTCCATAAGATTGGCCAAGTTGACATCATTGGACCAAACGTCAAACTTAAAGCGTTTCATTCCCAGAATACCGCAGAGCACGGTGCCGGTGTGCACGCCGACACGCATGTCCACGGTCTCCGACATCTCCTGGCAGAACTGCTCGATGGCCTGGATCATCCCGAGCCCCATTTCCACACAGCAGTATGCGTGACCGGGGAGCGGCTCAGGGCAGCCCGCCACACAATAGTAGCAATCCCCAAGAGTGCTGATCTTCTCACAGCGGGTCAACTCACACAGACGGTCAAAGCGACCGAAGAGGTCGTTTAGCAGTCCTACCAGTGCAGGGGCTGACTTGTTGGCACTCATTTTGGTGAATCCCACAATGTCTGCAAAGAGGATGCTCACCGGCTCCATGCGCTTCATGTTGAAGGGTCTGAAAATGATTTGCCCGCGAGGGATAGAGTTCTTCTTACGCTTGTTGCTTTTGGGACTGGACGAGGTCGCGGCGGAAGCAGCGGCGACGGAGCAGGCACCTGCACTGTATCGTTTCCCAGAACTCTCGCTTTCCTCGTCTCCTTGCTTCATGAGCTCGTCCGCCACCAGCCGCGGCATCACGGAGTGGATCATACGCTCCTTCAGCGCCTTCTCCACTTCCAGGTCCTTCCCATGCATGATCGCTTGACCCACCTTGAGAAAGGTACTCCGAGAGCGCACTTCGGACATGATGAATATGTGAATGCCAATGATATGCGCGCACAGATGAAGCAGGACTTTACCCGGGCCAAGCCAGCTCAAATCCAACCTTTCCGACCCTACGTAGCTACCGTCCATCTCAGCAAAGTGCAGCCAGCCTAAAGCCTCGTAGAGGACAGAATACACCAGGCCGAGAAACACCGACACATACAGGGGTAAATGCAACACACTGTACAGCAAAAGCAGCACCTCCATACAAAGTGAGAATGTCCCAACGGGTGATATACATGGAGCATTATGAGTCGTAGGTAGTAGTGACTGATTGCCTGCTTTTTGGACATCAAAATGGGCAAACTGAGCAGTTTGCGTTTGAGGCGCCAAGGTGATCCCAAACATGATCACTGTAAGTAGAAAGGACACGTGGTTGTAGAAACGCGCATATGGCCTTGAGAACGTAAACCAGAGGAGGAGGAGGCACAGTACAAGAAACCCCGCCGTGGGGACCAGGAAGTGTGTAGGGTCACACCTGGCGCTATTGATCCCAAAGTATATCCCCCACAGGAGCGCGGTGGTGGCCAGGTAAAACAAGATGTAGCGGAATCTCCTCTGCATCTGCGGGAAGCAGCGTTCCCTGCACGCCTCCTCCAGGATTGACGAGTTAAACTTGGGGTCCCAGCACTGCGCGGCAGACCTCTCAAACAGCGGCGGCACTCTCCTCGGACTGCTCAGACGAGTCATCATAGCCTTGGGAACGCCCAACTCCCCTGAGCTGCAGCTTGATGAGATACTGTATTTGCAAGGTTTGGAGGAGCCCATGTCGACCGGGTCGCCTTCTTGGTCTGGACCCACCTGTTGATTACGGCTGTCGGTTATCCGCACCGTAACCGCCCCCCCTTCGCTATCGCACCTCGCCTCCGTCTCGTGCAGTGGCTGGTGCTGCTCTGGCAATGCCATGGCGAGATGACAACAATTGACTTTTAATTATCACATATCACCTACTGCTGACAGTACAGAGGAAGTGGCACTTGACATAGATTGGTGCAAGTACAAAAAGCACAGTCTGTTTGTGAAAAGAGTCCAGCCAGAAGTAAATTCCAAGTGCATTCACTATGAGGATGGACCGGCTTGGACTCTTGAGCAGTTTCTTGTCCGTGCTGGGATTACGTCAGCACTCAGATGCCATTATATTCTATGGCTCAGCGGCGCGTGCGCGAGACTGAGGCACTGTCATCCGCTAGAGCCTGCTTTTTAGAGCACATCGCTTGAATTCAACACGACAGGAGCAAACATGTATCGATAAAATAAAAATAAAATAATAGGGTGGTTAGTTTACATAGGGTGTACTGACACGCTGAGTTTTTTAATCCAGTCGACACTGTCCCTCAAACACCCTCTCCAATGCTCGACGATGTTTGAATTAACTTTCCCTTTCCAAATGACATGCAAAGGTAATATAAGTTTATATTTCATATTTTACACATTTCTTGTACTTGGTTTCGGTGTAATGTCAGTTTGAAGTCAGCAAACACCAAACGTAACGGTTGCTGTTTGTCGAAAGAGTATTAACGTTAGCTGTAAAGAAAAGAAGAAAAAAAGGCGCCAGTTTCTGAGAGAAAACTTTTTTTTTTACACGCGCCACTGTTCCCTTTATATGGTCAAAAAACACAGAAAATTGATTCAAAAATCTCTAACGATGTGTTCCCGTAGGTGCTGGCATCACGAAGGTGATTTCCTGTAAACTGAGGGGAAAATAAACGCCTGAGACGGTAAGACGTAAAAGCTGCCCGTGTTTTCCCGTCAAAACTCAAGGCAGATCCCGTTCCTGCCTGCCCCGCCGAGGGTCAGAAGACGGCCTATTCCCACGGAGGAGCCCCGTCCTTTCCTGAACACCCACTACGGGTGTCAAGCGTGAGTACTGCAGCTCTCTAAGCGCCGTGAAACACTTCTAGCTCAGCTGACCTCGTGCCCACTTCAAATAACATCAGCCGTTCGCGAGCGTATCTGCCGACTCCAGAAGACCGATAATACTGGAGACTTACACTTCCAAGAAGAAGACAACACTGATGGCATCGAGGCACTCTGACAAGTCATGTAGAAGTGTGCTGAGGGAAAGTATATCCTTGTTTGTGTGTAATCCCTTTTAACCACTCACGCGGAGGTAACTTAATCTCAAATCATTTCAATGCAAAGTGTTCCAAATGAAGACGAAAGTTTTCTTCCCTCCCCCAGGCCTCAAGTCGTTTGATCGTGCTGGCAGTTCAACACTCGTGGAGTTCAGAGGAAGATAGAGCTCTCACTCTCCTTTGCTTAAAATCCCGCTCCAGCGTTATCCGCCTCTTTAATCCACACTTTGTCCGTTTAGCGTTCCTCCAAAACTCCGTTCAAGTGCGCTCTTTTCATGGGCGGGCTCATGCCAGGCGAACGCGCCGCAGCTGTGTCGCGTCGCGTGCTCTTCCGTTCTCCTCCCCGTTGAAGACTTACTTACGCCTTACCCTGGCGCGGCGTTCACCAGCAGCTCCACCATGGTCTGAACACGCTCTCGGGAGAGATGGTTGTGGGCGGTCGGTGGGGCAGCAACTTGACTACAATGTTGAAATGGGGGGGGGGACGCTGGGGAGCGCGCACGCAGGGCTCTTTGACGACGGCGCGCACGCATGAGATCGTCTTCACTCTCTCAAGTTTGACCGAAGCTGTCTTGACGTGGAATCCACGTTGTGTCATCAAAAGAACAGGTACGTCCAGTATAATTATGGCACTATTTATTCTCTGAGTAATTCATAACCAGGGCTGGACTGGGACAAAAAAAAATCGGCCCTGGCATTTTTTTTGGTCCAGGCGGCCCACCACCACTTCGATATATATATATATAGGCCTATATAATATAGGCCTATATATGTTTATATATACACTATACCAGTCAAAAGTTTTTAAACAGTAACATTTGTAATGTTTTTTTTAAAGAATTCTCTTCTGCTCACCAAGCCTGCATTTATCTGATCCAAAATACAGCAAAAGCAGTGGTATTGTGAAATATTTTTAATATTTAAAATAGTTTTCTGTCTGAATATATTTTAAAACGTAATTTTTCCCTGCGATTTCAAAGCTGAATTTTTAGCATCATTACTCCAGTTACACGATCCTTCAGAAATCATTCTAATATTCTGATTTGCTGCTCAAAAAACATTTATTATTATTATTAGGTTGAAAACAGCGGAGTAGAATTTTTCAAGTTTCTTTGATGAACAGAAAGTTCAGAAGAACAGCCTTTATCTGAAATATAATTTTTTTGTAACATTATAAATCTTTGTCACTTTTGATCAATTTAAAGCATACTTGCTAAATAAAAGTGTTAATTTCTATCATTTCCCCCCCCAAAAAAATAAAATTATACTGACTCCAAGCTTTTGAATGGTATATGTTACATGTGTATAATGTTACAAAAGCTTTTTATTTTCAGATAAATGCTGATCTTTCTATTGGATCTGTCTTACTGTTCAAAACATTTTGACTGGTAGTGTATGTATGTAGCCTATGTATCACACTCATATCACATCTTACCGGGAAAATCCCCGGTATGCCCGATTACCAATCCAACCCTGTTCATAACTGTTATATAAGCAATTCAGTATAGAATTTGAAAGTAAAGAAACGGGACATTTTGAGTACTAAAAGCTCAATATGTAGGCTATGTTACTTATTAATGTTTGTTTGTTTATTTATTTGTATTTTATTCTGCTCTTTTCGGAATGTGGGGTCAAATCTGACCAAACCTTTCTATGTGGGCATCCTTAAAGGCACAATATGTAAGTTTTTTTTTTTTAATTAAAATATCCAAAAACCACTAGAGCAGTGTTATATATTTTGCTGACTTGTGTACTTGCATTATCCCAAATGTTTCGAAGAATGTTTAAATCCAGAGAAATAAGCAATTTTAACTAGTGACACAGACCGTGTCCATATCGTCATTGTGTCACCTGCCAATGACGTCATAACCCCTCGATTTCCGGTTTTGTTTTGTAGAAAACATGGAAACACCAAAGACGCTTTAATATGTTGTGCGTTTTAATAGACCGGTAACGACCGCACAGAGTAGCTTCATAACAGAACTTTCAAATGTATCTAGTATGATAAAACAGCGCTGCTTTACCCCACATACACACGACCGGAAGAAGCAGAAGCGGTGGACTGTGGCATAATAAAAGCTCTGCTGCTTTCGAGCCGTGTGTCGCGCTCATTCAGAG